GTATATACCGCAATTGTAGGCTTGGGCCTTAGTAATTGATATTTTGCATTATAAACTAACAATTAACGCATTTTTGATCGAAAAAGACCTATTCTGAAACTCTACCACGAAGTATCACATTTTTTGAAACTGAAACTCGTTGCCACCCGATCTCATGCAGCTTTATACAATGTTCATGTAAATGGTATTCACGCAAACCATATTATTCTCTACATTTTCATCTTTATTTGTTCAAAAATTCTTACACAGTTTTATCTAGGTTTCGAAGAACAATGGAACAGTTACAATAGCCCACTTCGCTAGAATTATGGCGTACTTAGGAATACTGCTATCGGCTGATGATTTTAATCTGTTAGTAAAAAAATACCTTAAAGACAGCTACACATTGAATTATATTGCATTTTTGCACGCTATCGATGAGGTTGTTCAGTATTTGGACCGGAATGGTATTTTGGACCTAAGCGGCGTAAGGGCATTTTATCTAATTAATTGTCATGGCTAATAACGATCTTGTTCTTGGTCATTAGGATATTATGGCGATTTTTCCAGGAAGAGTTATTAATGCAGAACTACCAAAATTGCCTCGACCTGAAATTGGAAAAATAATGGCTTCCAAGCTGTTCGGAAAACAAAACATATTTCATCCAGCTTTGGAGGATCCCAAAAAAGTAGAACATATTTTAACCACCATGTCGATGATTCAGGAACATGTCTCAAGAAACAGGTTGAGGGTCAATACATTTTTCAAGGTACTTTTTGCAAGCTATTTTGCAAAACTTTCATAGCTTATTGCATTAACATTTATTTTAGCATTTTGATGTTCTTAACTCTGGAAGAATTTCTGTGGACCAGTTCCATCGGGGGTTAGACGCTTTAGCTTTGAACGGAAAGCAGCGATTTTTCCTTTCATTGCCCGACGTTCAAGCTGTGATTAATCAATACAGAGATCCGTGTGATTCTACTAGAGTTTGCTGGAAAACATTTGAGGATGATGTAGATCACATATTCACAATCCAAGTATCTAGTTATGAAATATCACGTTTTTAGTAATCATGACAAAATATTGCTTTGCTTTAGGAATTGGAGAAAAATCCGAATGTGGAAGTAGAGATACCCCAACCAAAAGACGACTTAGTCGAGGCTTCTAAATTAGGAGGTAAAGACTGGCAATCTGTCAATACCCAGCACAGAAGCCTGTGTGAAGACGCCGTGTATAAAGTTAAGCAAAAGATAATCCACCGAAGAATTTTGCTGAAGCCAATGTTCAAAGATTTTGATAAGTAAGAATAGTTCTGCTTAGCTGAGAATTCGCTTTCGAACGCTTATTGCCATCAGTTAAAAAATACTGACATGTTTTAAGTAGGTTTAAGAGTTGTCGAATAAAAACGCGTTTTTAATTCGGAAAAAAAATTTGCAAATTTCAAAATAAGAATCATATATATGGTGGTACGAGGGGTGAAGTACCAAATTGTAGTGAAAAATAAGTGATTCTACCAAGTGGAAAATATGAAGAAATTCTCTCCGCCACATTGGATAACTCTAAGAATGCAGAAACGACAATTACATATTTACTTGCGTGAACAAATAGCAAACTTACAAACAAATGAAAATCCACCATTGATCGGATCCAGTGAGCCTTGCTACGGATAAAACTTATTCAGAGTGAATCCGCGCATTCCGTAAAGTTAAAATGTTTTCCTTAAATAATTTATTTGCTTATCAGCATGTACAAAACATAAGTACCACAATCGAAGTGGCACGAAATATGCCCGATTCTCGGATGATAAAATTAAAATCCGGCCCTCGAAGACAGGGGCGTATTCAGCTTTCGAGTCTTTTGTTGTCTATGAAATTAGAAAAATTATCGTTAGCCGACACTCGTAATCCCAGCACAAGGGGGGCGGGAGGTCATGACCCCCATGATCTGCTCCCCTGGATCCGCCCTTGCTCGAAGAGCCAATTCAAAATTATCATTAGGTCTCTATGCATTTATGCAATAAGCAAAGATCTAATTGAGCGATAATACTAGCTGTATCTAGTAAAGCAAATTTCAAACAAAAAGGTCTTTGAACATTTTTTCTGGCTTACAAATATTGTATGATGCCGGTGTACCAGTATTAGTACCTACACCGGAGAAAAACATTTATAAACGTGCCTTCGACGTAAAACGTCTAAAACTGTGGCTACAATTGGCACGACAAAATGTGAAAGTTTCCAAAAATTTTACTTATAATTTAATCTTTTTATCTTCAACTGTCAAGGTTCAACTAATCAAGGGTAATTAATTTTTATGTACCTAAACCTGTTTTAAACGTGCTCACTCAAAAATAACAACTTACATATTTTTTAATGAAATATCATCACTATCAACATCGGTAAACTTAAAATAAAATATGGTAAAATCAAAAAAAAAAACATGGGTCAAAAGTAATTACCTAAACCCCTAACGAACGGGTTTGTTCTCTCACGAAAAGTGAGAAACGGAATGTCAGGCGCGGGGCGGTTATTCGAAGGAGCGCATAGAGCCGAGAATAAAATTCTGCGGAAGCGTAAAGTTGAGGTCGACTGTACCTGCATGGTTTGCCCTCTGCTTCCAGTTTTTTTATCATTAATTACAAGGCAAATGTCGAAAACTAAGTATTATATTGACTTGTTGAACAAAGGCGGATCAAGAGGGGTCATAATCCCCCCTTGTGCTGGTTTCATGTCGACTTACAATATAAATAAATAAATATTTTTCTAATTTCATAGACAACAAAAGACTGAACTTCTACTACTTAACCCATCCCCCCGCCCCGCGTCTCGAAAGCTGGATCCGCCCCTGTCGCTGAATTTATTTTGATTACATAATTTTTGCTTTTTTTGGGAGCTAAGAACCACTGCAACACTTATGCACCAGACATTATAAAATATTATTAATATGAATATTTTACAAAATATCGTCTGTATTTGGTGATGAAAATGACATTATTCTCAAGAAACTAACATTGATGTGCAAGTTTCTATTTTTATTAATGCCAATGAATGTGTTCAAATTAATTTGTCCATACATGTTTGCATAAACATTATAACTTTAAAACGTGATAGGTTTGGAATTCTGGCAACTATTTTTTTAAATTAAAAATGCAATTTCGTTTTAATTTAAGATTTGGAAGGCGTTGTAGCTATAACTTGAAGTCTGCATATTACCATCACTATGTGATATAATTTTCACAGTAAAGGTTTAATTCTTTTAGACATAATAATGGTCATGTAAGCCGAAACCAAATGAGACAAGCTCTGAATTCCAATGGGATTTTGCTATCTGATGAAGAACTTTTTGCTTTGGAGGAACGGTTTAAAAATGATATGGGCTTTAATTATGTTTGGTTCTTAAAAGAAGTAGAACCCAAACCAACTGATGAACCACTCGTAAATGAAATTGTTCTAAAATCCTTCATTAAACCAATAGTATTGTTCACAGTATGTTAGCTTCCTCGAAGACATGAAGCGTCTAAATTCTGAAACACCGAATAAACCTCCGTCTAGACAAGAAAAGGATATTGTTCAAATTTTAGCGAAAATCAAAGGGAAAGTTGTTAGGGAAAGAATACGGGTCTTGGAGTTTATGAAAGATTTTGATAGGTATCAAATTTACAGCGTTAATTCATTGATAAGCCTGTTTTACTTCCAGGTGCAACGAACAAGTAATAAGTCGAATCAATTTCCATAGAGGCCTTATAACTTGCGGATTTGAACTAACACGCAACGAAGTAGAAACCCTTATGGAAGTGTAATTTATAGTACTTCCATTTAAGTCATGAAAATCACGATTATTATTTTTAACTAGATTTGCTTCTCCAATGCGACAGGAATGTGTAGATTATCGACGATTTGCCGAAGTAGTTGAAGAAGCGTTTACGCAGTCTTGTCTTGAAAGAGCTCCTCTCATTGTGCCGATTCAACATGTACCCACTAAAGACTGCGAGAAAAATTTCCTCAATTTTGATGAAAGATTGGTATTGGGAGTCGCTATGCAGAAACTATCAAAAAAACCTGATTTGAAAATGAACCTGTCATCCGTTTTAAAAGTAAGTGAAACACGACTAGTGATAATACTAGTGAGAAACCAAGAACTTTTATTTACAGGACTTTGATAAATCAAACTGTGGGACTGTTTCGACGACACATTTTTTGAAGGCGCTTACATTAAGAGGAATGTACAACCTCATTTCAAACAAAGAATTTGATGTCATTTGCAAGTGCTTCGGATTCGAACGAGGAATGAGGCATGAAGTCGACTACAGGGCGTTTATGAAAGCGTTAGATATTTTATATGCCACTGATAAATATAATCCTTTCTAAATAATCTAATACATGAGACATTTTGGTTCATAAGGGCAATCAAAAAGACGTAATTCTTGTTCCTAGTTCCGACCTTGGTTTTTATTACCTTTTAAACGATATAAAATGCAACAGTTGACCAATAAAAAATTTGGGGGTTTAAAAAAGTACAGGGTGATTTATGTAGACCGTGCATTAGAAGTTTGTTTTTCAACTTGCAGTTGATTTAGAAACTTCAAATTTGGTTCCGGTCATACCGAGTAACTGCCGCAACTATGTGAGATATATTTAGCCCTCTCTATACAGGGTCTACGAAACCTATAGCCTAACTTTCTTATTTTACATGCAAACCCCTAATTTATTTAGCATGGTAGAATTGCCTCTCCAATTCTACCGATTACGCTTTACAATAAACCGATTTTAATTTGTTTACTGCAAAACGGGACGTCGAAAATTGAACAGAAATTTGAATTATCATGTTTATTGTTTGAAAAATCAGTGGCGTAACATTCTTTTTATTTAAAATTATCCACAGACAAGGAACAAGGAACAAAAATTTTATCACAAAACAAGTATTGTTGTTAAGTGTTAAGCCTGTAAAATTTTATTAAAATATTCCAAGCGGTTTCCGTATTCGGTTTTCTTATTAAACTTTAACACCCTGTAGATTGGAAACTAAGCGTTTTCGGAACATGGCCTGTTAACGAACTTTGTTTTCTCATTGAATCCGGCAGAGGCTTTATAAAAATATTACTTTTTACTACTAGAAAACGGTTTTAAATTCAAACACCTATATGAAAAATGTGAAGCAAAACTCTCAAACACAACTAAGACTTGTGAATGTTTTAATTAAACATCTGCGTATAACAGCAACTTAAGTATGTACAAGTAAATTAATATGTTGGCTTAAAAAGGGTAACCGAAATGCCACCAATTAATAAAGGTAGTAATACCCAGAAAGGAATCAGAACATATGCTAGCTGCAAATGTAAAGAGCGGTATTCCAACTTAAGGCAGACCATAATTTGTCCTGCTATGAGAAATATGACTATTGCAAAGGATAACATATTCTTGTTGCTTACAAGATCTCTGAATCTATCCTGCAGGCATGAAGCTACAATGTGAAATAAAGCATCTATCAGTAATATTAGGTCATAAAGCCACATAGGCAGAAAAATCAAGAACCAATTCCAATGTGTTCTCGCCTCTAGTCGCAGGCATAGCAGGATAAAAAAGATTAGAAGAATAAACCAGGTGAATAATGCTCTGTGCATCACCATTTTGCCATAAATTGGAATTTAATAGATGCATGTTAAGCGTCGCTTTTATAGATGGAATGCGAGATCATCTAAAAAAATGTAATGGCACTAAAATATATTAAATAATGTTTTAAATAATTACCTTTACGAGAGTATAAATATATCCTGCTCTGACGAGTAAACTGTAAAGAAGACCCATAAATAAACAGTGAGTGGACATAACCTTACATTTTCCTTTACTGTTATTTACCGTCCAAAGAATATTTAAGGCAAGAAGCGCAATTTTGGTATCTACCAGAAAATATGAAAATAGGCTTCCTCTGACTATAGGCAGGATCAACAAAGCCGAAGTTAGGCCAAATTGACCTAAAATAACCCAATGTCAACTTAACTTTTTCATAATTTTCACGCATGTGTCATATCATGATAAGAACGTCTGAAAAAAGTTTAATTTACTGATTGCTTATACATGCGTAAAGTTTTGTGACAAGTTTGCTAGCAAGCACTCCCAGGACCAGTTTGGGATCTCTACTAGCCCTGATCAGGCGAGTTAAGTTTGCAAATGACAAATCGAAAACCCTGCACAAAAACAAGGAATAACGCAATAATCGCAGTATACTGCTATAATATATTATACAGAGTGTCCCAGAAATGACTTTACAAAGCGCTTAGCCACAAACTCCTTATCAGAAAATAACACGATTTAAGCAATTTTGGTTGCCCGGCGGCTGGAGAAATAAAAATCTTCGCGAAGACACCCAGTGTTCCGAACGCTGGGTAGTGTTGGATTCTTACCAACGAAAAAACTCCCTTTTTTGTACTATGAGTTTTCGGGAGTTATCCTTTAAAACTTGTAGTCCTCTTCTCTCCATGCTAGCTGCTTGCAAGCATGGGCATCTTATTAATTTCCACCTTAGTTCTACTTGCATGCTAACGACTACTAACTTTGAATATAAAACTAACAGGAAGGAGCATTCCGAACTATCCTTGAGAGAAAGCGCGAGGCGAAAGCGGCCATGTTAAACCTCCACGTATGACTCATCGTTAGTTTGGTGGTTCCGTGTTCACGTGATTCGTCGTTTGCCGTTAATAAAATATGGTCAGTTGTGTATCGTGTGATGCTTCCCTAACACGAAAACATAAATCTTGTGGTGTAACATTTTACAGGTAAGTGTTTGTAATCCTAATTAAATGTTTAAAAGTGAAAAATTTATTCGTATGACATTTAGGTTAACCTACGAATCACAACATATTACATGGACGTAGCTTAGGGTAACATTATTATCGTTTTGTGTTAATATTAGATGTAATTAGTAATTGGGGTTTCAGCTGGTCATTAAGATATACGAAATGGTGCACAGAACCATTATTTGGTGTATTTTGTAAAAAGGCAAAAACTTAGTTATCAACATCCTAGTACCATTCGATAGGTAATTAAAAATTGTATTTCCTGGTAAGCTAAAAAACATGGGGTTGTATTTAAATTAATCAAGTTAGAGCCACTTAAAGTTCTTATTTGATTAGTTTAAATTTGTGGACACCCTGTATAAAATGGTAAGTTTATTATCATTGGGATGTAAAATGTGATTTCTTGTTACACTACACTACGAATTACGTTTACATAACTTAAATAATTCTAAAGTATTTGACACATGAAAATAATATTAGATTTTGATAAAATTCGAATTATTATATATAACCTTTAGATTTAGACATTATAAATCTTATTAAAACAAACACTTATTTTGCTCAGAGAATCCAAAAATGCAATAATATATAGGGTATTTTATTTAGAAAAACACAACTTTTATACTTTTAGGGCTTTTGGGACACTATGTACATTACAAAAATATTTTTAAAATGTGCACCCCATAGGCGTCTGTGGATTCATCAAATAATACTTTGCAAAAAACAAATGGGCTAGCCGCAAACGTCCGTGCCGTATAATGTGAATAACCCTGTATAAATGGACGTAAGTGTGATATTTTTTTAATGCGTGGAAATATTAAAAATGACGCTTGGATCGATAATAAATATTTTTATTTTTGTTACCTTCTGTAGAAGAAATTTTAATTTGTTTGTGCTACTAGGTGATTTATTTATTATTACAATACCGTGGAATTCAAATTTTTAATTATTCAGTAACGAGAAAAAAACATGAAAAAATATTAGTTCTGAATAACTAAACTAATTTAATTATTTTAGCAAATATTCAAAATGTTCACCGTTTTCCGAACACATCAACTAATTTTTTTCAAAAAGTGAAACCGTACGTTGAGCATCGTGTCGGGCTTGGTTTTTAAAATAATCATATTTAATACATATTCAAAGTCAACAAGGGAAAATTACTGAACTGCCTAGACCTGATTAACCAGGTAATGAATATAAAATTAATTTCTTACGATGTAAACATTACATACGTCATAAACTCGAGCTTAACCGTTTAATGCCGAGATTAGCCAAATTCGAAGTTAATGTGTAACGGCCGTAACATTTAAGTTTGAGAATAAAATTAATATCGACAGAACTGCCTCAACTTTGTTAAATGATGGCAACGTAGCATTCTTCCAGATTTTGTCTTTAATTAACCTGTGAATTAATCACGAGTTAACCTAACATTTTCACTAATTCCAGTGTCAATCTTTACTCAAAAATTTATCATTTCCAATTTTCTTAATTTGACCAGTTTGCCTCACAAAATCGGAAGTGAATCAATACAATTATATAAACAGAGGTGATCGCGGAACTCACTGCATTGGGAAGAGTGAACCTCAATATCACCATCATTTCTATGGTAAAACAACAGCCGTAGAACATTCCAGAAATTCAGTGTACCTACTGTTAATTATTTACCATTTCTCCTTCTGGTTTAATTCACCAGATAATGTTTCATTTATATCAAGTTGCACTCTGGTTATATTATTGAAAATGTATGCTTGGGGAAGTACAATTAATGGAGAATTGGGGCTCGGTGGCATTGAAGATGAACATATCCTGACACCAAGACTATTAGATTGGTAAGTAGTATCAAATTAAATCAGTTTTTTTGTTGATTGCATGATGCTGCAATCCATTCCGGCCAATATTTCTATTTTATTCCTCAAAAGGCAGCTTGTAGCGTATAATTGAACTATTCATTGTCATTTACTTACGTAGTTACATATATGATATATGTATTGTGTTTCATTGGCATTTGGTTAATCTTCTAATCAATAGATAATTAGTGATATTTACTTAATGAAACATAAGGTTTTGGTGGTATGAAATAATGACCTAACCAAACCATACAGATACATACTTATTTATTTTGTGTTTTTTTCTGTTTTTGTAGATTATTTCTCAGCTCTTAGAGATAAATTCTCAAGCATAGTTTTGACACACCTAAATATTTATCTAGGCTTGTGGTTTTGTCATAGTACCTCTAATGTGATTGTGAAAAAGTCACATTTAACACTTTCGCCCTTCTCCACCTAAATTTTCGTTACTTTTCTTTGAAGGTATTGCTGAATCTGTACTTCAGCATATAACTTCCACATATAAGAAGCTGCCAACAAATAGCAAATTCAGTAATTGAACTAATTTGATCAATGTTCTTTATCAATCAGGTTATTCTGAATTTGGTCTAACAAATATTTAAAGTGTCAGAAAAAATCTATTGATCATTGAACAGAACACATTTAATAAAAGTAATATGTGCAATTGTCGTTTCGAAGAATTTGACATATGTATGATGTTGTTTTACGGATCTTGATAATCTTTAGTAGTTTCTTTTCGTATCCGATGCGTGTCAGTCCTTCTTCACTCGTTATTATATGTGTCCAGGGTATCCTTAGCACGCGCCTATATATCAACATCTCGAATGATTCCAACTTTTTGACAGTTTCAGCTTTTAAGGTTCAGTGACCAAACATAGCACTCCATGAACCTTAGTCTAATTCGTAGACATAAACTTCTATTTGTAAACATGGAAGAGTGAGCATTAAATATCTTTCGAGCCATTTCTATCCTGATCTTGATTTCTTTGTCTGGAGCCAGTAGCTCATTAATGACTGTTCCAAGATATTTGTATTTTGTAAGTACCCGTTCTACTTGTTTTCCATTAAGCGAGATAATAGGGTGAATATTCGGGTTCTTACTTATTACCATATATTTCGTTTTTTCTATATTAATCGTAAGTCCTACTTCTTCGCATGCTCGGTTAACTTTTTCTAGTATTCTTTGTGGTTCTTCTGCATAATCTGTTATGATTGCAGTTTTGCCTGCGGGTCTAAAATTATTGATTAGTGTCCCTCCAATCTTCACTCCTTCTTCTCTATTGTTCAGCACCCTTTGAAACACAAACTGTGAGTATAAGGTGAACAATTGCGGGGACAGGACGCAGCCCTGTCGGACGTCTTTTTGGATTTTAATTTTATCCGTTTCTATATCCTCAACCCACACTTCTGCCGTTTGGTTAAAGTATAACTTCTTAATTATTCATATGTCACTTTGATCTTGATAAGTTTGTCGTGTTGAACTTTATCAAAGGCTTTCTGAAAGTCGATGAAACAGACGAATACATTTTTATTGTACTCTCTACACTTCTGTAGCATTACTTTTAAAGGCCGGGACACATTTATCCGATCTGACTCTCCGATCTAGGGATGGGAGAAAAATATCGATGTAATTCGTTCGATGTTCGATATTTTTACCATCGATGTTGCAAATTTGGGATTTCGATAAAACATCGATGTTAGATGCGAAAACATCGGACATTTGATGTTAATACTAGATAGAAACATTTTCTGCGAACTTTTTGATAGTGCCGATACAAACGATTTCCAGCTGCACCCGAAAAAAGCCTCTTTTTGCAGTCAGTTAACCGAAAACTGTGGCAACTGTAAGTTGAATAAACTTAATCGATTAGCAATGCATTGTTTTAAAATGTCATAGTAGTAGTAAAATAAAATTATTTAGGTTTAAGTTAATCAATTTGAAATTTGTATGCAACTGCAAACTGCAACAAAAAAGAACAATGTTATAGGATTGATGTCCCATCCCTACTCCGACCATACACTCGGACGAAGATCTGAGCGAGAAATGGTACTAGACTTTGGACGTCGTAGTTCACATCTTTCTGCTACACATCCGATCCGTCTCCGTCATGTCATCCTTTATCCAATCATGTTCCGATTATGGTACCTATTCGATGGCTATTTGTTATCCGATTGCGGGAAGGGAAAGCGGTTCTTGTGTTAGATTACATCAATCCTGTTTTGGTTTTAATACAAAAAAATGGCTTTATTACATCTGAGAAGCTCATTGAAGAAGTGAAGAAATATTCGGTACTGCATGTTCAGGTCAGAAGCAGTATTGCATTTTTACATCTTTCTGTCTTTCTTACACATTTTTCTGCAGTATTTTTGCAAAAGACTAAACGCGACATGGATATTCTTAAACATTGATGGAATTTAGTTCCGTCTTCCAACAAATGAGAAAAGAGTGAGGAAAACTCTCATTCATGAGATATTATGGTCCAAGCAGCATCGAGTCGAAATAAGCCACCATAGCCAAGTCACACTCGCTACATTTTTTTAAAACTACTGCTGCTATATTGCTTGTCCATAGATTAGCGAATGGCAACTGTATATGACTATCGTAGCGAAGACTGAAGCGTGTATGAGACGTGTGACTGATTCGAGTCGGATCGGATAAATGTGTCCCGATCTTGAAGCGAACAGAGTTTCTCTAGTTCCTAATACTTCTCTGAAACCAAACTGCATCGCATCCACTTATTCATCACATTTGCTGTATATTCTATGTTGGATAATTTTTAGGAATATTTTTAAAGTGTGGCCCATCAGACTGATCATTCTATATTCGTCGTATGACTTGGGATTGTTTTTTTAGGCAACCCACTGATTTAAGCCACTCTCTTGGAATATTCCCTGTTTCATATATTATATTTGAAAATTCTGTCTTGAAAATTCAAATTTATGTCGTTTAATGCTTTCCACATCTCTATCGGAATGTTGTTTTAGCCTAGCATGGCTATTCTAACTTTATTGGCTGCTGCACGGAAAAGTTCAGTAGTGGTTAAGGCAAAGCATTGTCTGATATTTTCAGCCAAGAGCTTCTTCTCCATCCTGGTCCTCTATGGCCATGTATTTTGCCCTGAAGAATGAGCTGCATCAGGCCATACCGATCTCCGTTTCGTGTTATATGACCCAAGTATTGCAGATATCTTTGTTTGATTTTATCGTTGATCTCACACTTTTAATAGTTAAGCTTTCGTAATACTTCGACGTTGGTAATCCGGTCCGTCCATGATATACACAACATTCATTCTTTCCTTCCCACCACATATCTTCCTTCATCAGCAGAGTATTTCTCCGTGTGTATCTTGTGACCATCAGTGTTTTTTTCTCGTATGCCCTGTAAGTCTTTTTAATTTTTCATGCATATTAAAGGCATAGTGTTTGTTATTTAGTTTAGTCTTCAGGGCCTCTTTATGCCATGTTCTATTTGTCTTTTTAGTTGTTTGTATCTTTGCTGGTGTTTTTGTGTTGACGCTTTTCTTCCATGAAGTTAATTATGTCTTGCTTCATCCATATATTTTTCTCTGTTTGATCTCTTTTTAAAGTTATTACTAACATGATTCTCAAGGATAGTTTTATAATTAGAACTTTCGGTGTTGTATTTCATGGGAAACAGCGACGTAAATTTCGGACAAATACTTATTACTAGAATCTTCTAAATGACAAGCCGCACATTTAAATATCCGTAAACACAAAAGCGTTTATATTACTTGCCATTAACAATTTGTTGTTTTTCTAGGTACTTGGCCAACAAAGTTGTAGAATGTGCCCTGGGTGACAATCATACACTTTTTCTAACTAATGAAGGGCAAGTTTATTCTTGCGGCAACAATGATTACGGCCAGTTGGGACATGACCAACCCCGAAAAAGGCCACGTATGTCTTACTTTAGTATGTAACATTTTGCTTTATGTGTATTTGAGGGGTCTGTAAAGGAGTGCTCCAAATGGAATAGCGCTATTGCTTGATTTATTTGGTAAAATTTATTTGGATCATTAGCCATTTACAGTGGTCGTGTGTGTAACTTTATTGTTAAAACGGTGGCGAATGCATACATCAAATTACTTCAATATTATTAATTGTAACATACATTTTATAATTCTGAAATTTATTTCACTTTTTCAAATACTAGTTTACCTATCGCGGTAAGGTTTATCTACAATTTGCATTCATAATTGTGTCTGTCTGTGTGTGTGTGTGTGTATTGCACGCATGTCGTCATGTTATCAACATTCGTCATCACTCATCTAAGAAAAGCATATTATCACTATATAATGTGAACCATGTAAAAGCGGGACGCTTGTAAAATCTTAATTTTTTGTTCAATTTTGACATTTTTTTTTTGGACTGTAGGTTGCAACAAATTGTACTATAGAAATAATGTCACATTTGTGTTACACATTGCAGGTCTACTTGGCCATTTTTTGGGGGCAAAAGTTAGCTAATATGTATGCCACTGGATTAAGCGGATTGAGAAGGAAATGTGTTCAAAATGTCATTAAAAAATATGACAGTTTAATAATTCTACTGCAACATTAAATATCGCCTTGCTCTAGATTTCGTTCGTCTTATGAAACAAGCTATGGATAATGTGAAACCTAATTTTTTTAGTCAATATTGAAACAAATTGAGATAATCATATTCTGTTTTCTTCCATCAACCCACCGTTTAATTCAATGCACTTTAGCTTAGTGTTATGATCCTGGATGCATGTTTCAGTTGTTCTGGTGTAACATTGGCACACGCATCAGCTATTCTAGCGCATAGTTCTTCTACTGGCTGTAACCTTGAAACTTTATGCTGAAGCTTGTTCTAAAAGAATAAATCAAGAAGTGTTACGTCGGGTGAGCGCGGCGGCCTTTCAATTAAAAGACCTTCGTTTTGTCGTTCTAGCAGATACTAAATTGATTCGAACTTGAAGTCATGCACTGCGTTCCAAACTGTGTTCCATAGAATTTTCAGAAACGGATGTCTACTCAAATTACCACAATGACAAAAAGACTAATTATTTTATTATCAAGTATTCGATACTGTACACTTACTATTGTAAATGAGTCTTAATTATTGAAGGGATTAGAAGCAGAAAGGTTCTGGCGATACATTTAAAGAATAGAAAAAATATTGTTTAAAATATAATAGAAATGTTGAAATTAAATATTGGTGAAAAAGTCAATTATTCTCTTGTGCTTCAGCGTGGTATAACAAATTATTGAAAAACATTTAACTACACGACCAAAAAGTTTTACATATATTTTTTTTTTGTAAAATTCACTTTTATTGTATCTTATTCTTACTTCCATTGTTGAAAATTATTAAGCCAAGGCTAAAGCTTTTATTGTGGACTGTTTTTTTTAAATATTTTTTTATGCTCTTGAGACTTTTAAAGCTCGTGATCGATTGGTGGAATCTAAGGTAAATGTTGGATCAAATTGTCATATTTTTCTTTGGAAATATTTAAATTACTTTTATTAAGCATTTTACGCAAATCAGAAACCTTCATATTCCGCCATTATTGTTGAAGAATTGAGAATTTTACACATTGACGAAAGTAAATGTAGCGCTTGCGCTCAGCTTCTATCAAAATGATAAAAGGTAGCTCTTTCGTAGCGAAACCAAGGGCAAAATGCAAGCTCTCAAAATCAGTTGCTATCAGCTGACCTGAAAAAATATCTCCCCCTCAGAAATTTGACTGTATTTAATGTGAAACAATGTTCATAAGGCCGCACTTTTTTATTTCCTTTTTCTTCCGCTATTATACAGGGTGGTTCAAAATTGGCGTCATTCCTCTGGGGGCGTTGTCTGGCGGTGTTATAGGAGTAAAGAAAAACTAGTGAAATAAATTAATTGTTATTAAAAACTGAGACATTTGGAAAAAGCTATATCAGAAATACGGCAGCAATGTTTTTCAAGGTAATCTGCCTAATTAACATTGCGCAAATACCTGTTGCTTCGTAATTATTTAAAATTCCGGTTCAACAGGAATCGTTGAATGACGGAACCTATTTCGAAATGTCAACCTGTTCTCATAGCCTCGAATTTTGCGGGGTTTGGTGTTTACATAAATAATCCACACAACACCAAACATTTAACTCCAAACAAGCTAGTGCCTGTGTAATATCCTGATTATCCACTCTTATCAAGCAGCATCTCGTATTCAGTTAATTAACTCGTGCTCCATTTGTGTCTCCTTGTGCTGTGTGTGTCGTACAAACGTGGTAGGAATGTAGCCGATACGTGTTCACTCCAGAAAGCGCTTAATTCGGTGATGAATTTCTGCTTATTTTTAAAAGTTAATAATAATTCATTTTCGCTTCTAAATATACAAGTAGGCTTTGCTATTAGTCCCAAAATTGTGTCACTGTACTTCAAATTTTTCTCACTACGATTAAAAGAAACACGTTTGTTTAAATCGAGCAGTAAAAAATGATATTTTATGGGGGTGTCCTGTTTTTTGAATAGGTCGTACACATGTGTAATTTTAAATTATTTTCTAATCCCAAGCTCTATCAAAACTTTATGCAACATTAAAACTTTGCTGCCTTGTTTTTGGATCGAAAATTGGTTTGGGTAAGAAAGGCTTATTTTAATGAGATGGAGTTTGTTCTCTACAGGGTGATTTACATAGACTGTGCATTAGAAGTTTTATTTTCAGCACTATTCTAAGATAACAAATATTTTTGGTGAGTGACAGACATGCACATATTATATTTATGGAAAACACATGGCCTGAATCGCAATTTCCAAAGCAAGTGTATGTTGACTGAATAATTTCATTAATTTATCAATTTATTTAGAACCTGTTACTGGATTGGATGCATACAACATAGTTCGGGTGGCATGTGGAGCCACTCATTCCACAGCTCTAAATCAATGGGGTCAAGTTTTCTCATGGGGTTCTGATTATCATGGGCAACTCGGCCAACAGTTAGGTGAAAATATACAACCAGTTCCCAAGATAGTTAAAGCTCTTGCCTCTCAGCATGTCATTCAGTTGGTTTGTGGACAAAGACACACTGTAGCCTTGACAAATAGTAAGTAATATTAATTTAGATGAACTAAATTATAATGGTTCATTGTTTTTATTTAGATGGCGATATACTAGCTTGGGGTGCAAACAATTTTGGTCAGCTTGGCATAGGATTGTTTTCATCATCTGAAACCACACCCAAACTCGTAGCCTCATTAAGGGGTATTCCAATCGTATTCATAACATGTGGCGCAAATCACACCTTTGCCATTTCCAAATCTGGAGCCGTTTATGGTTGGGGTAAATAAATAACACATTTAAAATTAATGTGTTTTTCGGACATTTGGGCCAGCATGTGTGTTATCATGAAAAAATCTATATATGACTGCTAATTATTATTCGGTCTAAAAGTCTGAAGAACTCACCAATTCGAAGTAATGCGCACCGGAGCCCTTTTTGATAATTTTTTTATCATATTAATTAAATGTAAATAATAATTTGTTCCTTTCATATCTGTAGCTACTTAATGCTTAATTTCGCATTTATAATAATTACGCGTTTTCATTTTATGAAATTGCATTCCTTTATTTAAGTAAATATTTATTTTACTTATCCCTTTCCGTATCTATTATCTTTTTTTCGTCTTTTTGGTTCTGCTCCTTATTAGTGCAATATTAGGCAATATATTAGCCTGTCGGTGCGACCGCTCTACCCATTATCTTTATCGTAACAATTATTCTCTTGTTTATTAACTGAATATAATTGATTGTCTAAATTCTCTTCTCGGTATTATATGTGATTTCTTTTTATTAATATGTTTTAGGAAAGAATACTCGAGGTCAATTGGGAGTCAATGATACGGAAAATAAAATGTTTCCTACCCAACTGAGAACAATGAGAAACTTGAGGGTCAGATATATTGCTTGCGGTGAGGAATTTTCTGCCTTCCTCACACTAGATGGTGGCGTATTTACTTGCGGTGCGGGAATGTATGGACAGCTTGGGCATGGTAGTAATTCAAATGAGATTTTACCGAGACAGGTCAGGACTACTTGTTTGAATAATATTCTGCTTAAGCAATTTTCATAATCTTTTTATTTTTACCATTTTGCATTTTTGAAAAAAATTTTCTTTCGATAATATTATAATCACAAAGTTTGCAGAGTGGTGCCGTGGAATTAAGAAATTTTGTAATTGAAGCTTATGTCTATTAAGTAGTCGGTTAAATTAATTCGACTATACACTGGGTCCAATACAAGAAGGGTTATCGAAAACCATAAATGGTTGACTAAATGAACAAAAAGTTGGCAAATAAAATACTAATAAAATTTAATTCTAAAACTTTTGGTCCAATATTTCGTTTCTGACTTATTTGGTAGCAACGAGCTTTTTAGTACAACCATCGTTTTTTGGTGTAAACCTGAAATTCACATTATTATTATTTTGCTTTGTTTTCACTCGGCCACTAAACTGTTAACACTGACCTAAAGTTGCTTGGGCTTTGACTTCAACGCCATCAAATTACTGTTGAAATTTGATAATTTCAAATTTTTGAGGCATTATTTTATTCACCTCTTAACTAATTTTTTCAATTTCACCCACCTCGTATTATATCATTTAGGCTTTACCATGTTCCTATACTGACTCTCCTCAGCTTGGATATTGCGCCGCGATATGTTCAAGCCGTTTATCATAATGGAATAAGAAGTGTTAGAAGATCCAAGCATTGCCAATGCATCGGCCCGGTCGTCTCGCGCGAATTCCATGTGCGCCGGAATCCACACTATTCTTACGTGTTTGTGTTCTACCACTTTGTTCAGGCATCCCAGCAATCCTGGATCAGTCTTAGCTGCCAAACTTAGCACTGGAGAGCAGCCGAGCCGTCGGATCCGGTATCGATCACTCTTTCCAGTTCTTCTGTAACTTCCCTATCTGTAGCAACCTCGGGGATTAAATATAATTCCGCCTGAAACCTTGTCGTCTAGCATCCCAGCAAAAACGACGCTCCCTTGTTAGTGGCTTGCCGGTACACGTCTGCCCCAGACCATCCCGTATTGGGTGCCGGTGAGCCCTCGGTGTACTAACATTGCACCCCGTTTCGGGCAGTCACTTTCCTAGTATTCCAACAGGAATTCCTGTTGTTAAATTTCCTTTCGAACCCAAGTCCGCTATCAGGTGGGACAACTTTCTCACCTAGGATTGGAAGATCTCGACGCATGGTGGTTCCTATTCTTGAATGTCCCTGTCGTCGATGGTTGTCATGCCTTGTAGAGCTGCATTCTATCCTCTGTAGTACCGTAACGACCTCCCTGCGTATCCACAGGATTAGCTCAGGGAGGCCCAGGAGGATGTTTATGCTATGCTTGGTATCGTTTTCGAAACTCAACGCTACGTGCCGGAAACGGTACATGCATGATAGTGTGCAATCACCACCAAAAAAAGCAAACTTATATTTTTTTATGGATGGAACCTCAACAACATTTTCCACCTGTCTGGACCTTGCCTGTTGTTATACAAATTTAGGTTTGGCATTAGCCTATAAAGTTATAAAATTGATTCCAATACGTATTTGCAATGTACCAAGCCAAAGTAGTTAGTAGGTAAATTGTCATTTGGCCTTTCACGTACCTAGTTGGACTGTCAAGCGAGATCGACAGATATCGGTTAACAACGTTCTAGGTTTTTCGATACTCCAGCTACACTCTTATCTGCTTTTCTACCGTTCATCTTCATTGTTCTTTTATTATTTTTTTTAAATTCACCATGCCAACGCTTTCTAGGCAAGGGCATCTCAGCCCTAAAGGCTTCGAAATTAAGCCGGCGTCGAAGGGAGTAAAGCGGCTGTGCGCGGCAGTATATACATTTAATATTTTTATTATTATTGTTATTTTTTTTATTGTTATGTGTTGGTTTTCGTTTACTTGAAAAGGAACTCAACCGCGTGAGATAAACCATTTCTGGGTGATACCGTAAAATAGTAACTAGCTTTTGCGTGATACTCTTATTACTGTTGCACATCCATCATCCGGTCCTGTATCCAGAGGTAGGGAAGTTATTCCGATTCCGCCAGGGAATCTCTGGAATTATCCGCTCGCGATTCTAGTGAATGGAAGGAATTCGACGTGACAAATTAATACCTATTCCTCTCCTTCTTTGAGTGTTCTCTTCTTTGATGGCTTTGTCCAGTGACCCATATTGTGATGCCAAAAATGCTTGTGCCAACTTACTGTCATGTTTTGTATACATTTATAATTTTCAAACGCAAAAGCGAAACCAATGCACATATATTATCAATTCATTTTCTAGTCATATAGTTTAGAACTTCATAGTCTTGTGTGATGAGTACTTGATGGTCCGCGAAGACCAGCTTTTATAATATATTATAGCTTATTGAGAGTAACATGCATTTGTATTTTTTTCCACTTTCGAGATTTATTTTAAATAAGGTCAGTAATACAACAGTCCTATTTGAGTTCTTTTGAGATCGTTTAATAATGTTGTTCTACGTTTGATTTTAATTTGTGTATCTTTATATAAGGTAAGGCCGTCTTGGCTTCGATTACGTTTTATAAAACATTCTCATGCTCAAGCCAATGCTCATAGCTTTGCTTGCTCAAGTATCGGTCGATGGTGGCTTGAGTATTGCTCAGTCCAGCCATTGGTCGAGCTTTTTCGATGTACCGTCAAATGGTTTTTAAGGTTATATTATTGTTTATGTTATGATTCAATATTTTAATTTTTTGGGCTAATTTGAGGTGATATTACCTTTTTTTAAACGAACCATTATTGAAAGCGGATAATCGTGGACTACCAATATCACCCATTACTCAATTGCTGGTATGCTTAAGATTCTATGCAACAAGTAGCAAATAAATACGAAAGTTCCTATAAACCTATACTCGACCGATACTTCGCCGAAAATTCACGAAATACTGTTTATAATTCGATCTCTCGGTTGAGCACGATCTCGTACTTGGCGAAGCATGAGCTGAGTATTTATTGGCTTGAGTATCGTTTATAAATACGTGCCTTAAAGGTATGTTGTCATAAGCCTTCTGAAGGTCAACAAATAACAGATGTAGTTCTTGACGCATTACTTTCATTTTTTACATCATTTATGTCAGCGAGAATATATTGCCGTTCCATTAAACAAGTCAGAAATCATCGTTTTGAGATATTGACCGTTAAAGAAAAGACGTTTTTTAAAATTATAATAAACACCTGATCAAGATGTAATGGAATAAATATTTGCTTTGTGACATCGCTCTAATTTCAATCAACGAACATAAAGATAAATAATGGTTGATGTGTTTAAGAATCCAGAAATAAATTATGAACTCAACTGGACGCAAAAGGACATATTTGCTCTAAAGTCGACAAATGATAAGATTTGGAATTGCTAGTTTATGTACAAGATTAAATTCGTAAGTTAAAACTTATTCCCAATTTTAACTAAAGAGAGTAAATTTTGAGCTTTGAATTTTTGTTGCTGAATGAAAACCGAATCTTCGATATGGTCAGTGACTGATCCACCTATTAGGAAGCTAGCTTGTTTCTTTGATTTGTAATCCACTTCCATTTTGGTTTTGATCCCTTTCCCATATATGCTGCAAATGCAGTGAAGGTTATGGATATCTCTGTCTAGGTTTTATAGTAGTATTTTAAGTATAGAACTGTACTAAAAATTCTTTGAAATGTTATGTCTGTATTTTAAGCAAAATAACAATTGTTTTTTTGTCTCGAACTATTTCAGGTAATAGAGTTAATGGGCTCTACCATTACGCAAGTGGGTTGCGGCAGACAACATTGTTTAGCTTTGGTGCCTTCTCGAGGACGAGTGTACAGTTTTGGTATAGGTGGTTCTGGCCAGTTAGGAGTAAGGAAAACCAATAGTGCCTATACACCTCAGGCAGTTTTAGGTCCGTGGGTATCGCCTGGGGGAAGCTCTCTGATACCTAGTGACAATGAAAATGGCCCTAATCTAGTCATACGTAGATTGTTTGCAGGTACCTTCAATTTTAAAATTATTAGTAGCTTTTTGTTAAAAGAAAACCAAATTATAATATTAATTTTTTCTGGCGTAGTATTTATACAGGCTATATCCAGTACTTATCACCCCAATGCTAACATTAAACCGTGGACACTCAATTTTGTTTCACGAATATACCACAACAATTAACCCAATCTTAGTGGAAACCCATATTTTTTCAAAATCAGTAGGCCGAGGTTATTGCCTCCTAAAACATCATCCTTAGAGCAATATTCGCATTTCAATATAGTTTTATGTAAATTAGTATGTGAAAAGTTATCAAAACGAGAGTTTATTTTACATAAAAAATAATTCATGATTTGTACACAGTGTTGATCACATTTACTATTACCACTTACAATAGCAGAAGTGCATTTCGGGCAATTTCACTACAAGTTCTTCATTGAGTTAAAAATATGTTTGCGGAACGCAAATTATTCATGTCTGAATCAGAACAAATACATCTTTAACACTTAATTGATTAGTATAGTTTTTCGATGAGCCCGTTTTCTTGATTGCTTCTGTAAGTGTAATAACGATTGTGTTTATGTGTGTTTAGCGTTACTAATGACCCTCTTTTTGGTTAGTTTGGAGTTATACATGCCGTAATACAAGCCTACTGATGCTTCATCAAATATAAGTTTCTATTCTATCAATTAAAATTTAAAAAAATGTGTGACCAATCTGAATTATCTGGAAATCTTTGAGGTTTGAGAGTTATAACATTTAATAATTTCTATATGTACTGTGTTTATATACAGGGTGTGCCATTTTATAGTATCATGCCTTTAACGGTAGATAGAAAATCTGATTTTAAGATGATAATATCATACAAACATATATTGAAGAGGGTTTCGTTTTTGGTATATAGAGTTTTTTAAATAATTTGCGCAAATCGAAATTTACTGTAATAAAATTCTATATTCCAGGACTTCGCAGCACAACATCCAAGTTTTCGCTAAATTTACAGACGGTACCATGTGGCACTAATATTTAATTTCTAAATAATAATACTTTTTTGTGCCTACCCATAACAATCTGATTTTAAAATAAAATTATTTTCTGCTCATATTTATGTAAGGGTACGAGCACACCGACGACCGAGCGGGCGGATGCGATCTGAAAATGCTAATAACAAAGTTGAAATTCGATTCAACTGTTAATATCTTCTACAAACTATAGAAAAAAAAAACATTCGATATTTTTCTCGTACTCTAAGCGAGCCTCTATTACCCCTTAAAATAAATGACGCCAATTTTGAATCACCCTGTATAGAACGTGATTTTTTAGTGCTCTCAGTTGTGGGTTAAAGCTTGGGTTGGGGAGTTTAACCAACGGCCAGTCCTCTCGCCAAAGTAACTGAAAAAATCCTGGAAAATTCCAGAAATTTCATATAAAAGTGAGTTTGTGATAAGTCGCTGCGATCGCCGACAAAACAAACTATTTTGTCTTCAATCGCTACGCCCAGACTCATATCGCCTCGCTCAGCGTCGCATATGCCCAGAGTAATCTAATACCGTACATTTATCTTTTTGTCGATTATTGTGCTAACAGTCACCGTTATCGAGATTTTTTCAAAATCTTTTTAATTGCAAATGAATTACAACAAGGTGTAATTTTTCAAATTTTTACAAGGTAAATTTTCAGTGATTGGATATGGTATTGCGATAAGTCCCAACATATAGAATTTTATTACATTAGCTTAACAATTGCATGAAATATTAAAAAACAATAAAATAAAATGTTAACTTTGCCATCCTGTATCTGAAAAACGCTTTTAATATATGATTGTACGATATTTTCATCTTAAAATAAGATTTTCTATCATATTATACCGACCGTTAAAGTTCTGCTGCTATAAACTGACTCACCCTGTATATAACTAGTTCCACGCAAACAAAAAATCAAAACACCCCGTATAGTGGAAACTAATTTTAAACTGCGAACTGCTTAAAACTAACAAACGGTACCGAAAATCGAATAAAATATATCGATTTGTATTCCCATGGGATATAATATTGTACCGTGGATGGCCGAGTATCAAACTCTTTCTTCAGCTTCCAACTTTTATTCACCTCGGTATAACTTTAAATGCGGAACAGGAACCAACTAACTTCAAAATTACCGTCAACTTCACAAACAATAACACAAACACACGGAAAACTCGCTCTTCAGACTCGCGGGGTTTAACCTCTTCTGCACCCGATCGCTCCTGTCACTTCACTCTCCCTGGTCTAGTTCTCGTCGTCGCTTATATAGATTCCTTCATGTAACTCAGATGGTTCTCGAAATATCCAGAACAGGTGCGAAACTTCCCGCTTGTCAGTGTCATATTTGACAGTAAATAGGGCGCAAATGGGGCTCCCATTTACTGAAATACCATGAATTTGGATCCCCCCATTCCAAACGTGAGTACCCCAGGCCATTTCCGTTACAGTGCCCCCCTTCTAAACCCTGATCGCCCCTATTAGGCAACTCCTGGATCATCGTTATATCTGGCCAAACGGTGAATGTGGACAACTTTAAATTTTGCCTAAGGGCTCTTCTGGATCCGATAAGTGACATCGTTGTTCCTGGTCTGGTTCTCGTCGTCGCTTATATAGATTCCTTCAGGTAACCCAGATGGTTCTCGAAATCTCCAGAACAGGTGCGAAACTTCTCGTTTGTCAGTGTCATATTTGGCAGTAAATGGGGCGCAAATGGGGCTCCCATTTACTGAAATACTATGAATCCCCCCATTCAAAACGTGAGTACCCCAGGCCATCCTCCGTTATAATATCTTATGAACAGATCCACCGTGTACATAAAAAAATATTTTTAATACAAGTATTTTCATACTTTATAATAAGCTAACAGTTTCTATAAATACAGGGTGATTCAAAATTGGCGTCATTCCTCTGGAGGTGTTGTCTGGCGCTGTTATAGGAGTACATAAAAAATAGCAAAAGAAATTAATTGTTGCTAAAAACTGAGAAATTTGCAAAAAACTATATCAGAAATACGGCAGCAATGTTTTTCAAGGTAATCTGCCTAATTAACATTGCGCAAATACCTGTTGCTTCGTAATTATTTAAAACTCCGATAACCATGGAATTATACAGACTGACAATAAGATAGACAAGGATAAACGGTAAATTCAACAAGATTTGTTGACGAAATGTCAACCTGTTCTCATAACCTCGCATTCTGCGGGGTTTTGTGTTTACATTAATAATCCATACAACACCAAACATTTGAATGGTTAACTCCAAACAAGCTAGTGCCTGTGTAAGTAATTATTATCCACTCTTATCAAGCAGCTTCTCGTATTCAGTTAATTAACTCATGCTCCATTTGTATCTCCTTGTGCTGTGTGTATCGTACAAATGTGGTAGGAATGTAGCCCTCGGTATTTATTTGGTGCTTGGGAGAGTATTTATTAAGTGTCAGTTATTGTGCTCTAAGTGTCCCTGGAAGGCCCTGATTCGGTTATGTCCAATACTTCCTCTGTGCCTGGTACCCGAACATCTATTGCCGTCCACTATCTTCCTGAAACCACTCTCCGCGCCCTTTGTTGGCGTGAGTTCTTTCAGCTTCTGCTATGTTACTGTAGCATTTCCCCTGAACTAATCGCATATCAGCAAATTCGTCAAGAGAAATTTAATGTAAGTCACAGTTTGACAAATTATTGACAAGGCCTATCCACCTGTCCCTATCTGTTAATGGCAAAAAAACATCAATGCCGCTGTGCCTTTTCATCAAAAAATTGTAGAAGAGAACTTTTTTGATATCAAAAATTTTCGTAATTTGAAGCAAAGATCATAATTTTTCTTTTTGAAT